AGAAGTCGACATGGAGCACCCAAAACAGAACTGCAAAAGTAAAACCTAGTTTGAAACAAGCTGGATCTAAAAGTTCAGGAACTGTGGGTAGGCAAAGAAACAAGAATTTCAAACGTAAAAGGAAGGCTAGTTGTGCAGAACCTCCTAGAAAGAAAGCAGTGTTGCACAGAAAGTGTAAAGAAAAGAATCAGACTGCAATTGTTAGTGAATCAGGTAGCCCTTACAAACCAAGGGCATCAAAAAAAACTGTGAGGACTTTGAAATTACTCCCTTTTAATTCTAACCAGCTTATAAAATGCCCCCGGAGAAATCAACCAGTTGTTGTGCTTAATCATCCTGATGCAGATGTTCCAGAAGTTGTAAATGTAATGAAAACTATTGCTAAATTTAAGGGACATGTTCTTAAGGTTTTATTGTCAAAAAGAACTGTTGATGCTCTTCTGCAGCCAGACTTCTGCAATCCTTCAGCTGTAACTACTGATAATTTTTCTCAAAAAAGATACAGGACAATAAAACCCCTTAACCCTGTAAAAGAGAGATTTGTCTTAAAATTGACGCTGAAAAAGACTAGCAAAAACAATTACCAGATTGTGAAAACTACCTCCAATAATACCTTGAAAGCTAAGTTTAGCTGCTGGTTTTGTGGTAGAATATTTGACAATCAGGATAATTGGGTAGGACATGGACAGAGGCATCTGATGGAGGCGACTCGAGATTGGAATTCATTAATAAAATGATGACCAGTGAGGAAAATAGTAATTTAAGTTAAAAAAACCCCCAGTTGGATTAGGAACACAAGTCATTCTGTTTTGTATGTCAGTATTGTAACTGAGGTTGAAAAAGGATGCAAAGTTTTTGTGTTTGAAAAGAAAGAGTGTATTTCCTATTGCCATCAGATTTGAGAAAGATCAAAGAATATTGTGGTTTAAATAACTTGTAACTAACTGCAAATACAATTCCATAAAAATATATATTATTTTTATTACTATCATGTGCTATATTTTTATTCTATAGAATGAGTCTTCAGGGCCTTTGTTCTGTACATACTTAAAATCCCTAAATATGTAAATATTTTTATACTTTTCAGTTATTTGGTATAATTCTTGCACAGAAATTACACCGTTCCCCCCAGTTTTTCAGTTCTGTGCATGCACTACTAAAACCAATTTTTAAAATATTTTCAAATACACACAGCTGTTATCCTGGGATTTTTGTTTTTTCACTTATTAGCTCTTGACTTTGTTTTTCAGGGATTGAACACTATTATTAGCAAGTGCCTCAAAGATGTGAAGCAGTTTACATTATGTTGACTGTGTAACCATGGGTCCGTATAGGGCCGTTCCCCCACAGTTTCATTTAAACAAAGCCATATGTGAATGCTTTAAGCTATATTGCTATGCACATGACACTTGTACTATTTCTGTGCAGTTTGTCTACTTTCTTAGTGAAGTATTTTTCATATAAATTAATAAAACATGTTATGATTGTGTTAATACGGTGAGTCAGAATGAAATCAATTGAAAATATACAGTATATATATTCATAATGTATATGGTGTTTAAGAATGGTGAACATTCCTAATCTGTATTGATTTTGTCACTATTAAATTTGCTATAACTTGTGTTTACAGCATATGACTTTGAGCATTTATAGAAAACGTTTCTATCTTGTTATGTCTGCCACAAACCCTGTAGGGATGGTCAGGATATGGGGAGGTGCAGAGCACCATTTTAGGCTTGTAATTGCATCATGAGTTTATTTCAGGTGGATGTAATTTATCCCCATAATAAGTTAATGTTTTCTGCTATTGCTTATTCAGATCTACTGCCTATTGAGGCACCAGGGGTTTGGCAAACCAAGGCTCGAGTTCTCCTTCCCTTATTTTACCATCCAGAAGGGTAATGTTCTTAGGGGTCTGCTTGCTTTCTACTTTCAGTTTTAGCTATAATGAAGACACAGACTATGCATTACAGTTTAATCTTTATATGAGGGCATGTAAGCCAAAGACCTCTCAACCACAGTGTCTGAGGGTATGCAGATGAAAGTCATTATTATGCACAGTAATTATGTCTCAAGGCTTTGTCCTCCAGATTCTCAATGAACCTTTGTAGGCTAGAAATTTCAGTCTTATGTGGGATTGCTCTTACCATGTGGCTGCCACCTTTTGCCCAAGTATGAAGGTGGAAGCCAGCTTCCCAAAGCATTGATGGAAAAGCTGTCAAAATGGAACAGTCGGCTTGGAGAGGACTGGAGCATTTAAACTGTGGGGTTTAGATTGTATGCAAGCCTCAGCAGTTTTCTGTTACTGGTTCCTTAAGGAGAAAATGAAGATTGCCTGCTGCCAGTGAAACAATAAGAAGACATGGATGTCACAGGCGTATCACCACTAACCTGAATTCAACTTAGATTTTAAAAAGTGTTAAAATTACCTAAAAACAATTGCTTCAGTGATTAGATAAATTTTTCTTTCTTGATACGTGTGTTGGCAGGAAGATGCACACTAGCCTTGCAGCTGCTGCGTTCTGTATGGAAGACAACTGAAGCAGTCAAGGCAGCCTAGTTTGGGTGAATTAATACACAGTTGGTGTGTGTTGTGTATGTAACTGGATCATTTTGTGCTGCACCATGGGCTTGAGCTCTGATGTTAATCTAACTGGGAACTTTGAAGAAGACCAGTGTAGTGGTGAGGAAGCAGGTTGGAAAGAAGCAGCGTTAGGAAAGGACAAAAACGCATTAAACTAGAAGCATCTATTGTCTGCCTCAGCTTGCTCTTCTGTAAACTTTGAAATTGAACCCGTGAATTTTTGGACTTTGCCTTTGCCTTCTTTGGAAAAAATATACGTGAAGTTTATTTCTAAACCTACTTGGTGCAATTTCAGCAAGGATAACCAGTTTTTATTAATAATTACTTAGCACTGAGGTGGAAGTTCTGCTGTAGCATTAGGGAGTTTTCTCTGTATTGATGAATCATGAGAGTGACAGCTGTCACTGGAATTGTTTTCTAACTTGTTTGTATGAATTTACATTAATGGTACTGTGAAAACATTGTAAAGCTAGGAAATGTTGAAGTAAGGTTGCTTTATATGATTTAATTAATAGGCACGTGGACATCCATCTCATTCAGTGCAGAGAATTTTTGCTTCTCCTGCAAAAAGCGATTCAGTATTTTGTTTCCCCATCCTTAATTAGGTCCTCATATTATTTAGTGCAGCTTGCACAAGTACTGTTCTAAATATACAGTTTTATTCTTACGATCTTTTTCATTGTTGTTGGAGGTCCTTAGAGTTCAGCATTTCTGCAGATGACGTTTCAGAAAATCTCTAGTGGGCCTTCACTGAAATTGAGATCACAATTAATTACCATCAGGAGAAAATTTGGTTGAAGCAATCTGACCTGTGTTGCAGTAGATGGTGTGGTAGAAGATGCAGGGAAAATATGTTCCGTTCTTCAGTTCAACTACTTTAAATGTATGAAGCCACCTTTTTCACTGGCTGGCTCCTGCAATGTTGGTGCATTTCTCAGCATTTTCTGTAAATGGGAAAAGGTATCCTACAAATATTCTACAAACCACAGTTTTTCATCATACAGCTACAATTTATCTCTAAAGTATTTCATGAACCAAGTGAAACACATAAATCCATATGAAAAATGTTGATTGTATATTTAATGCTTGTATTGTAATGGATATAGCTGATGTGATAAGGTTGCACAGGTAACTTGTGTCTTGATTTTGAGTGCTTGACTATGCAAGCATAACATTATAAAATAGTTTGTAACATTGCAAATAGCAACATAAATCTTAAATTGATTATATTGTTTTGGGACATACAAAGGTGCAAGCACATGGTCATCAACCCTTTGTATGATCTTGAAGAGGCCTAAAATCTATCCCATTATGTGTTCTTGGAAAGATGGGTATTCATCAGTAAGTCATGGTGCCTTCCTCAGTAATTCAGTGTTTTAACAAAAATTTGTTACAGAGTGGTTGTTATGTGATACGCTTTTTTTCTTAACAACACTTCCTAATAATCTCTTTGCGGCTGGTGCTTTTGATTAAAGGAAGAATGTAGTTTTGTACCTCGTGTCTCTGAACACTTGGATATTTGAGAATGCAAGTTCTTACTCTTTTCATGGAGCAACATTGTCAGGATATGCAGTACTCATTGTACTCTGTATCAGGTAGGCAGACAACACTTCTGCTTTGTGCATTATTAAATATGACACTTTGCCCTCAGTTCTCAGACAAAAGAATTCATTTTTAGTTCTAGGTTTATGGGTTGCTTGTGTGTGTGTGTCTGTGTATTTTTTTGGTGTGAGGTTTTTGGTGTTTGGTTTTTTTTTTGTTTATTGTTTTGTTTTAGCTATTCAGTGACAAATTATATGGAAGGGAAATTGGCTAACAATATCACAGTATCAAAGATGAGGGGAGAGGTGTGTTGCTGTGTCTGTCAGGTCAGACTTGCTATACCTGTTACCTGGAGCATACATATGGTGGCATTAAGATGACTGCTGGCACTGCAACAGCCACACCAAGTCAGCATTTCCTGCATTCTGTAATGGCTTTTCAGCCCACAGCACTGGGAGTTTTAACTCAGCAGGCTTCATCCTGAGTGACAAATTATTTTATATCCAGAATGTAGGAAATGTAACTTTGTACAGTCCTACACCTGAAACTTGGTTAAACTCTTGTTTCAAAATACATCTGCACCATAGTCCTGCCAAAATGTAACATCTAGCTTGGGTATGGAAAGCAGAGTAACCAGTCTACTGCCTTTGTTCCTGTACAAAACACTCAGTGATAACATACTGGTGTGTTTGTGTGTGTGTTTTGGGGCTGGGTTGGTCCCCCCAAGGAGCCTTATTTTGTGCCCAAGAAGTTCTCATTTCAGGCTGATTGGATTATTTTGTGGAAGGTTGTGTTACTTATCAGCTCCCTGCCTTGTTTTGTTGTCAAAACTATAAGGTAGCCCTATAATCATGTATAACATAGATAAAAAGTAACGTAAGGTTTGAGGATGAAGGTTACTGGCCCCTTTCTCTAGAGCGTATTTGTTATTTGTAGGTCAGCCACAGTATTTTATGTAGTGCTGAGCACTTAGAACTGAGGGAGGGGCAGGAGCAGCAGTGCTTTAAAGTGCTCAATGCTAATTACCTTAAAAAGTGATACCTAGTCTCTTGTATGAAAGATACACATTTGAATTTCCCTTTTTCACATTATTTTTTTCCCTCCAGTTCTAGAATGAAGGAGATACTGCATACTTAACTTGGAAAGAATGTTTGAAGAATCTAGATATTTTGAGGACCAGCACAGAAAGGATAGGAGACAGACAGTATCAAGTTTAAATACTGTGCAGTACATGAGTGAAAGGCAAGGACAACATGAATGCAAAGGAAGTTAAATACTCAGTGACTACTACTTTTCCAGAGTATTTCCATTGTGAGTATTGCTTGAAATAGCTTTTAAAGTGATGCTTAAAGTAGCTAAATAATATAATAGTACACATATAGAAAGAGTAAATAAAGCTTGCAGACACTACTGTTAATTTTTATACCTTGACTTGGCAGTCTTAATGTTCTAAACATTTCAGTAGTATTAATACCAACTGAGCAATCTACTAAACACAGCCCTCATGTAGCACTGTGGTTGTCTGTCCTAGGCAGGCTTGTGTAGTCTGTATGCATTGTTTCTTACTTGCCAGTGTGTTACCACATTCCATTCGGGTAAGTGTTGCCTGTGTTGCAGAGGGAAGAAGCTGACCTGCCTCCAGGAATGTAGGCAGCCATGTGCTGAGCATCCTGTTGGCACACAGTTCTTTCTAGAAGACAGGTGCAAGACTTTTAGATGTAACTAAAAGCACAAGAAAGTATTTGCAGAGTTCAGCCACCCTATGGCCCTGAGTGACTTGCTGAGACTTTGCAGGTCTTGACTTAGTCTTGCCTTTAATGCCTTGAATATAATCCTAGAGAACACTGCCTAATCTGGAACAAAAAGAACAAACTAAGTATGTATAAAGTGTCAGTTTTGGAAAATACTTTTAAGATGGAGTCTTCAGGTCCAGTGAAATCAAACACTGCTAGAACTAGTTAACAAAAGATTTGAGAGTTATTAAGCCAAATTATATGTTTGTGTAATATATATGAGATAAAGTTGTAAAAAGTGATACTTTTTCATAACATTGTGAAACAATGTTAAGAAATGTGAAGCACATAAAAATATATACATTAAAACATCAACAATAGTGAACTGATGCTTTCTTGCTAGAAAGGTGCCAGAAATGCAGTCCAGCAAAGTCTCCATACACTACTGAGTTTAAAATATTTTTAAATTTTATTTTTACATTTGAAAATACAAACAAAAATATCAGTGAAACAGGGTGAAGCTGAGGGAAAGTACAACACATGTCCATAAATCTAAAACATTCAGGTGTATTTATTGCCACTAATCAAAGTACAGTCCTATTTTCAACTTGAGTACAGTGGTACATTAGGTCAAGTTGCTCTCATTTCTGGGGCTGTGTGCTCTACAAAGAAATTGCTGAAAGCGGTGATATGTGGTAACCATAAACTGAAAGAGTAGATCACTGTGGGTATTCTCATTTTTAAAATGAAAATATCCTTCAAGAAATCTATCTTCAAACAGCAGTCAGAGGACCAGGCTGTGGTATGCAGTTGTTCTTCCTGTGACTTTGGATACCCACGTTCTCACAGATGACAGTGCATCTGCTTTGGCTTCTTGTGTTAAACTTCTCTGAAAAAAGTGACGTGGGGTTGAACTCTATGAAATGCATTTCTTACTATTCTGTAAGTGCTCTTGAAGAGTGTTTCCCATAATTTTGGACTTTCTTCTTTTAATACCTTTTCCATGTCTCAGTATGTTGAAAGAAATTATTAAAGAGGTCTTCATTTCAGCAGTTCAGTTTGATTAAGAAACTCTTACAATATATTTCAGTTTTGTTGAGTCTTTTGTGTTGTTTTGGCTGTCAATTAGAACCAGGGAGGTGCGCTGATGATTCTCTACTATTTCAGCAACACTGTCGAAGCGCTGGATAAAGAAAAAAATAATTAGTGCTGGCTTCCTTTAATGCTATAATATTTACAGTAACCACTGCATCTTTTTATCTTTGCTTCCCATCTAACTGAAGCAAGTTAAACTAGTTGTTATGAAGTTTGATGCTTTGCCTTTTAGTGAGAGCACTGATCCTTCTCTTAGTTCTGATTTTAGTCATAAACTGATTAAATTTAGACAATGGAAGATATTACAGGCACCAGCTGTCCCCTCCTTTCCATTTGTGATTGCCACCTGGGCAAACTGAGCCACTGAGTTTGCTGTGGGCCATAGTGAACTGACATTTCATTTTATTTTAATGGCTGCAGACTGGCTGCTCAGAAGCTGTGGCAGATGTGGTTCAGCCACCTCAGAGGGAAGGCCATGTCCAGCAGTCACAGGTACAGGCAGCCATCCATGAAACCTGTTCTAGTCACGCAGTTTTAATGTTTGTTACTGTAAATTAGTATCCAGAATCTGCTAGGTTGTTGCTTTTCCTTTTGAACTTTGGTCAAATAAAGACTTTGGACTGTCTATTTATCCTAAGGTAATTTTTCACCCTTTGTTGAAGACCAGGTGAGCTCCAGGCTATTATATTTTCTCTGATCTCAAAACTGGGAGGCAGATAATTAGGCTATGTCAAGCCTACTTTCATATTGCTGAAAAGCCTACTCTATGCAGTGATAAACTGTATTCATTGGTATTTGTGTTCCAGTTTTTGTTTTGCTATCAGAGTAATTATCTCCGTGGCAGAGTAGATAACCAGTGATCTTTTTAATCCAGAGCTAAAGTTTAATATTTTCTTTGTGTGAAAACAGTATTAACAGTAATGTCATTCTAATTTTTAGTAGTGTTGGGGGTTTTTGTTTTTTGAACATGACTGTTCTTCCTTTGCAATTTTCCAAGAAATGTAACTAGAGTTTTAGATAGAAGGTAAATGGAGGACCATGAACAGTCAGAAAATTATCTAGCGGCTGCAGCTCTTACCTTTTTAACTTTATTTAAACAACACTATGAGTATGTTTAAAATTTGATCAGTGGTTTTGGTTACCGTGTACAGGAGCTGTTGTAACACTGGTTTCTCTAGCTTGACAGATTGGTCATTATAAAGGGTGTATTTTTATCTTCATACATGAAGAATCTTTGTGGTCACAGTGCAATATATCTTAGTCCTTACTTATTAAAGGTATATAATTAAAAAACTGTTAGGAAAAATACCCCCACATCATCTCACCTCTTCACCACTTTTTTCTCTGCCCAGTGCATATTGCCTTGTTGATTCAATAAATCTTATAGGAATGTTGTACACTCTTCTGTTGTAAAACACAACCAGTGTATATGGCTGCCGTGAGTCCTGCCCAGAACTCTTCCTTATTAGAAAAGATCCATCCTAAAGAGAGAAAAGCAGTCAGTGTATTTGGCTCATTTCTTTCCAACAACTTAGTCTGGTTTTGGCTTAATATTTTGATTAGCATTAAACCCTTTTCTCCCATTAGAAAAATAATAGCAGAAGATGAGAAGTAGCATGTATTCCTGCTAACAGTAGCTTGCAAAGGTCATTTAAGAATCAGCTTTGCTGCTGCCTGTTCTCTCTCTCAACCAGAGAGAAAATGAAGAAATAAATACACAGTGGCAGCCATCTGTTGTGGTCCACAGATTGTTAGGGAATAGTTCCTGTCAGTGGCAGTAGGTAGGGAAGAAAGCAGGGAGAGGTGGAGACACCATTTCTCCAGAGCTGTAAAAAGGAGCTCACCACAGTCAAGCACTTGCACTCCTGACCATGTAGCCCTGTGCTCACTAACTCACAGCAGCCTTCACCTGGGGATAGCCCCCCTTCTCTGCCCCTTTATCCTCTGTGGACTTGGGCAAGAGTGCAAATGTACTTGATGCAGAGGATGTAACTCTACATGCTCCTCCCCTCCTGTGACACTAGATTTTGTACAAAGAATAGCTGGGAGAATTCAAATTCTCTAAATACCTAAATGCTCAGTGTTGCTATTTCAAAATGCATAACACCACCAGCCTTTCCAAACAGCTGTTTTCACATGGGCCACTGGACAGTGGTGGAGACCACTTCAAAGCCACTGGGCTTTGCATTTCTTGTACGGGGGTGTGCATGAGCTGCAAGATCTCCCTCAGCTCTCTAGTCTCTAATGCAACTTGGTGTTGCAATGAAAGACAGCATTAACTGATGTCACCACAATAACTCCATGTTTGACAGTACTTGCAGGGCACAGTAGTTCTGACTTGTTCAGAAGGCAACTGATGCTCTCTGAATACTTCTGGTTGTCTTTTAAATGATTTTTTTATAAGTTTTGGTTTTTTTCTCATAAAATAGACATTCTTTAAAAGTGACCTACCTTGTTTGATCGGTACAAAGCATCTTCTGCCATTTTCCTATCACAGGTAGCAGCATACCATGCTTTACTGTGAACACCAGCATCCTAAAAAGAGAGGAACAGTGTTTCACCTGTAAAATAATAATAATAAAGAATATAGCCTGTAGGGGAGTTACTGCTAAATAGTGGCAGCTATGAAGAACTAAAATGCAGAAAACGGAAAAGTTTAAGAAAGTCTTTGCCACAAGTTCACAGTTTTAGTTGAGTAGAGGTGGGGCAAAGAAAAACTGGGAGTGTCAAAACAGTGGTAACAGATTTGGGATAGAAGGCTGATAAATGACAAAAGAGATGCCCCGAGGAAAGCAGTCAGGCTCAACTGTAGGATCGTTCTAAAGACAAAAGCTATTCCAGCAGAATTTAAAGGAGAATAAATGTTGAGAAATTTGCTCTTTGTGAACACAGTCGTGACTGTCTCCACATGGATAGCATGAGGTTGGCTAAATTTTGGTCCAGCTTTACAGTAACAAGCTTAATGATAAAATTAATTTTCACACAAGCTTTGTCACCTCTGTACAAAATAGATTAAAGGTTGCACATTATAACTGAGCTGGTCTAGCTGACTTATTGCTGCCAGAAAGGAAATGTCTTGGCTTCTCCTTTGTGCTCATTTTGTTGCTCATCTGATCCCATGGTGAGATAATTCACTTTATTCAACTTGCAGAAAAAAAACCAAAAAACTTTCCTTTTTTGTTTTGCCTTTTCTTGTGTTTGACTGCCAAGCTGATTTTCTGTCAGTTTAATGACTTGGCTCAACCCACTGCAGGATCAAGAAGGAACACCACAGAAGCTGGGAGGGGAGCTGACAGTGAAGAGAGAGCAGAGCCTCAATTTTGGAGGCACTGCACTAAATTCTTAGACTGGCTCAAGCCACAACATATAATTTTACCTTCAAAAATTTTCCATTTATTTCTCCAGTCACACTGTTCACTGGAAGAAGAAAGGCTGAGAGGAATTGCAAATATGAAAGGTACTTGTCCACACAGAGAATAAGTCCAGTGAACAAATCTTTGTTCAACAAAAGAAGGAATCAATGGCCCCCAGGCCTTTCTTCTACCACTAGCTGTGGCCTACAATGTAGAATCAGAGAGCTGCTGCCAAAGCTTGGATGGGAACCAAGCAAAGAGTGAATGTCATGGGAATGAATGACATCTGTGAGCACCTGTATTGTGCAGGATGCTACAGCAAATGATACCCCTGTATACAACTGCTGGGAAAATAACACTAACAGCTAATTTTTTTAAACAAAATGGAACTTTTATTAAGTTCTGTTTCTGCCCATGGCTGTTAAATAAAAATTGCAAATGTAATTGCTACAAGCTGTTTATATAGACTATTCTAGATTGCTCATTTGAAAGTAATTTTTATAATAAATATCTAGTGTTACATACAGTTAAAATTTTTCCAGAACTACAAATCCTTTGTGTTCTTCAATGTTGTGTTATCTTTGTCATGTCAGACTTTTAGAACACTTACTGTTACTGGCTCTGCAGGATGGAGCCTTTGGTTTACACTCAACAGAACTATTTTTACCTTGTTTGTGACTACCAGGTTTATAAGAATGGCTTTTTGCATTTTATAGTCTCCCTTCATCCAAAATGAGAATAAAGGGAATAGCACTGAAATGAAAATAACCTTCCATTTGCTTAGATCATTCAAAGCTTAATGTTGCAACAAAACACATAAAAAGAAGAACTGTCCATCAAACTAACAGCATTAACTGTAAGGAGAAGAGATCTGTTTTCCTTTCTGAGGAACAGAAAGGAGCTGGACTTGGGAGAGACTAAAACACGTAGGGGAAGCATTGCAGCATCATTGCATTTGCTTACTGCACCTTTTTTTTCCTGCACACAATTTGTACAGCTATAAGTTAGAAAAAAGGACATGATTATAAACTCTTTATAGCAATCAACATCAAAGACTAGACTTAAGTACATGACCACAGATTTCCTTGTTTCAGTGATGTTGAAAGTATGAACTGGAGGGTCAGGAAGACATGAAACTAATGTTTTCTGTGATTGGTAGGGTGACAAGATTTAATATAATACTATTTAAATATTTTTCTACAGTTTGTTAAACCTCTCCTATGCTATGTGTTCTGAGCATGTTTTAATGAAAGCTAACATTCAGATTATTTGTGCTACAAAAAAGCCTCACTGCAAAACAGGGCATAGAAGCCCTCCAGGAGTGTAATTTTCTATTGAAGGGGGTGGAAATACTATTTTAAAATAAAGGATAAGGAGATTTCTGTAATATGAATTTAGCTACTACTATACCTGGTCTGCAGAACTTGAAATAGATGAAGTGCTGCTGGGAGGGGAAGCACCCAAAGAACGGTTTGCAGCTTCTGGCACTTCTAGAAAAGAGAAAGAACAACATGTGTAAGTTTTCAAAGTATGTTTGTTATGATGTAAGAAATTGAATTTTTACAAGGACTTTGGAAGATCTGGAAAAACCTGACCTTTGCTATCAGTCAAGAAAGCTTTCTACTGGAAATGGAGGGGGCCTATATAAGTGATGGGACACTTGCCTGCCCAAAGGGTAGCTAGCCTTGCTTGTGAAGGAAAAACCAGGCTGGATAACAATTTGGTTATTAGCCACAACTAGACTCAGAGTACAGGAAAAAAACCTCTTTCACCATCAAAGTGAATGAATATAGCAATAGATAAAAATTGCAGGAACTTGATGCAAGTAATTCTCAGTCCACTGTGAGAAGCAGTCTTATAGGTGAGAAAGTCAGGAAAATGAGTTTATTTCAGAGATAATTTTTCACCAGTTTAGACTGCCTGAATTGTTTGTATACATGTGCAAGAAGTCCAGACAGCAAAATGGAGAAGCAGAATTAATAGAAAACATTATGATACTTAATTGGAATAACAAAGCATAGTTGAAAATAGTTACTAGGGCTAGAATACAGATGTAAGAGTTTAAGAAATCAGAAGTGAAATGTTCGAGTAGTGTTGCATAGCAATGATATGATGAAAGAAGTATGGATTATTGCTTTCTGGTAAAAAAGAATTTGGCCCAACAGAGTAGGTGCCTGCTATAGGTACTTTTGAACACAGCTGGATGCAAATCAATATACTAGAGAAGATCATTGTAGAAAGTTGAGTGATACTCATTTTGTTATTATGGGAGGCTTTTTTTTCTGTGTGCTTTACTTATTAGGGAAAACAAATGCGACCCTTTCTGGATATGGTGCTCTGCAGACTTCATTGTTAAATCTTCACCAATAAAATTGTGATTTAGATATTGGTTTAGAAAGCAATAGAATGTTATAGAGAAGACCATACAATGCATAAAAAAATGCAGTTGGACTTGGAGACAAAGACAGTTGTGTGAAGTACATTTAGAACTTCTTTTGTAGTTAAGATGTAACTGTCTGGAAGCTGCATCCCAAGTGGAGGGGAGACCTTGTAGGGAGCAGTTCCAGCTCTCAATGAATTAATAATCACCTGAAGAAGGCTATTCAATATTATGGATTTTGGTTTTTCTGTCAAATTTTGACTGACTGGCTGTTAAAGCTACATCTGAGAGTAGATTGTAGAAATAAAGCAAGAATTGACAGAAGTCAGACAGATTATTGACAAAAGGATAAGTAATGAAAGATGCCTTGGCTGTGTGTAAATAAGAAAAGAGGGGGGGGCTTTATTCAATAAGAATTTTATTGATTTTAAAGATAATCTAGGTACTAAACAAATAGTAGTTGTGGCACAGAAATGGAAATTTCTACGATCAAATTCGTAGCAGAGCTTAAATAACTTTAGTACAATTGAACTGATGGGCCCAGATGATCTTTACCTATGAAATTTTAAAAATTGGCACATGAAATTCAGGGGTGGTAACAGTTATTTTAGGTAATTTTCATGTCAAGATGGTACCAAATGATTAAAGAATACCAAACATAATTGCTATACCTAGAGTGGAAAAAGTGACTTGAGCATATATAGGGCTTTTTGCCTGATTCCACAGAACACAAGGCCCTAAGAGAGAATTTGAAGGAAATAACATCAAGATTTGGAAGTAAAGGTACAACTAGAAAGAGAAAATCTGAATCTTAGCCAAGAAGATAAAATATTACAGCTATTTCACAGAATAACAGAGTTCTACAAAGAGAGGATGTGGCAGTGTACTTAATCTGGACTTCAGAGAGCTTTTGACACTGTGCCATATGGGAAGTGATAAAGTTAGATGTTTTAATGATAAAGTTAGAAGTTAGCTCTAGGCTTGTATCCAAAGAAGAGATGGCAGGTTATGCTGAAGGGACATCAGTGATGATGGGACCAGTGGTGTGTATTATAAAGTTGTTACTGGACCAGGCACTGAGTAAGATTATGCTAAAGGAAGTTTACTAATCAGAGCACCATTCAGCACCAGATGGTCTTCAAGAATAGTTACAGTTCCAGGAGTAGTAAGAATTTATGCTTCAAGTTGAAGCACATCAGTTGTGTGATGGGAGCAGACTTGAGTGCATCAGTCAAGAGCATTAATGTGAACCTTGTATTAATGTGAACTTCCTCAGCACAGGAGATATAATTGCAACATGCATCAAGCAAATGTTTCCAGGAAAGAGTTACACTAATAACAGCATGTCAGTTTAAGCTACACCAAATATAGATTTATATGTGCCATGCTCACCATCTGTTTACAATGTGAAGGATATGTTCAGACTGAATATGTACAGTAAAGGGCTTACAGGAAGGTCAGACAAGTGTCTGCTAACAAGCAACTAGAAAAATGTTGAATCTCATTTACACTTCTGTATAAAGGGGATTTATATACGTATTACCTAGTTCATTTTTAGCTGTGAACTGAACAAAGTCCATCTTGGAAGGCACTACTTAGAAAAGAGCATTAGCAGTTGCTATTATAAAAGTACCTTCTTTTTTCCTTCTGTAGAAAAAGAATAAATTGAATGTAATAATAATCTGTCTGTCTTGTAGGCAACAGACGCCTGGAGCAGCCCAGAAATGTCATATTTAGGATTCTTCTGTGACAAGGAAGATTGATGGAATCTTTATTATGATGGGAAATGACCCAAATTGCCTTTGCTAGAGATTTCCAGTATTCATAAATATAAATGAAGCACCCACTTTCCATCAATAATCCTGAGATACTCCCGTAATTTTACTAGCTGAGCTAAGATCTTGGATACTTAACCTACTCTTTGTATGCATTACAGATACACTAATTCCAAACTGATTAATATGCAAGGTATTTTGAAATAATTTTAATTCAAATATTGATTTGAAAGTACAAGTTAATAACATTTTAATTTAAAAAATGGAATTATACTTACTTGGCAGAATTGAGGGCTTTTGTAGCAGAGGCCTGAAATAAATGTCAAGAGATTACAGAAAGGTCTGAGAGGATGTACTCAGTCCTGCTAATATGAAAACTGAAAATATGCAGTGGTAGAATGTGTTCCATCTCACCCATCTGTTCACTGAGAAACATGGGTCTGATACAGGTATTTCAAAAAATTATATCCCACTAGTAGGAATTTAAACATATGTTTTAAATCTCCATCACCTTATTACAGATTATATCCCCTCATGCTTTTTGGTGATGGTTATAGCATTTGTATGCATTCTTTTTTTTTTTTTTTTTTTTTCTCCATCACCTTATTACAGATTATATCCCCTCACGCTTTTTGGTGATGGTTATAGTATTTGTATGCATTCATTTGTCATGTTTTATTTTTTTGCTACTGTGAGGTACTGTGAGGCTTCAGGAATCTCAGCTCTAAGAAAGCAACAAGGAGGCTCCAGTGAAGAGTGTTCCCCTTTGAGCCTCTCACAGCTGGTGCACTGCAATATTCCCAAGAGGATGGAAGAGAAAGCAACAAGGAGGCTCCAGTGAAAAGAGTGCTCCCCTTTGAGCCTCTCACAGCTGGTGCACTGCAATATTCCCAAGAGGATGGAAAGGGACCTTACTTTTGGGCACCACTTGGAAGGGGGGGAAGTGGAAGTTCCTGGCTGGAACTGCGCCGTCGTTCTGGTGCCGTGAGTTTTTCTGTGGTTTGGGAAGACAAACGGTAGAGTCAAGATTCCTTCCGAAATAAGTTATCCCAGGTTAGGGAGTCCCCGTAGGTGAAGGAGGCTTTCTTTCACTATAAATTTGGGTTTTTTTCTGACATGGCAGCCTGCCATTGCACTGCTGTTAACTAATTCTAGGCAAATACCTGTGCTAGGGATGCCTGCAGGGCTCGGTGAGACTCTGTGACACAGGGCAGGGCAGCCAGCCCGGAGTGAGGCAGCAGCTCCTGCCGCCTCACACAGACACAGACACAGGCACAGCCAGGACAGGATGGATTCCCTGCCCGTGCCAGGGACTGCCTCTGGCCAGAGTCGGCTCCATGAGGGATGGTTCTGGCTGAACTCAGAGCCCGTCCCTCCCTTCCCCTCCTCTGCTGCCAGGGCTCCATGGCACACTGCTGGTCCATCACTGTGCCACGTTACCCTGCCAGTGACCTCGGCAGCTTTACTGAGACTGCTCTCAGAGAACAATGATACTCACTGCAACTAAGGCTGCCCAGATCCAGTTTGAAACTGCTAAAACCAAACACCCCTCCAAAACCGACAGTAATTTGAATGTGGTGCTGTTTGTTTCATGTTTTTAGTAAAAAAAAAAAATCAGATAAATGTCAACTTTTCACATTAGTGACTATAGTTTACCTTCATTTGCAGTTAAGGTCTCTCTGGAAGGTAAACACGGTTTCTGCAGTAAAAGAGAAGGGCAACCAAGTATTAACTGGCACTTGTACAGCAAATGTTTATCATTCATACTTTTTATGAAACAGTTTAGAATTGACATCCTGGAAGAATTAGGAGGCAGGGACATAGCCATTCTGTGAAGAGTCTAGTTGTATGACCTTGAAGTTTGGGATTTTGCAAAGGAGATTTGGAAAGAATCCCAGCTTGTGGGTATAAATAGATGGAGAAAAACTAAAATCTAGATGGTTCGTTCTTATCTCAGGCGCTAAAATCAGAAGTCTATCCCAAATACCTGAAAATGAAAACTGGATTTTCACCCGTATTGAACTATGCATACAAATATCTGAACACATTTTGTGGTTCATTCTTATCTCAGGTGCTAAAATCAGAAGTCTATCCCAAATACCCAAATTGGATTTTCACCCGTATTGAACTATGCATACAAATATCTGAACACATTTTCTTCTGTTTACTGGAAGTTAAACTGTCAGTTTAGCTTACAGTAAAACTGGAACCAATCTTCCACTTTTAATTTTTTTTGCTTTCATTTTGAAACAATGATATTAAACTGCCAGTTGTGAAAGATTTTTTGAATTAATTTCTTTGAAAATTTCAACCAGTCCTCTTACTTTCTGCCACAAGATGTTTTGGGATATTTTTCGAATTACTGAAAAACCTCAAAAAACAAATTCTGGTAAAATCCTGCGTATTTCTTGAGCTATCACTTTCAATGAACTCATGTTCTCCATAGGCAGTCCTGTACATTCTGGAAATACTTCTGAATTGTGTGTGTTCCCATCTATTTCTCATTTATTCAGTTCATGCACTGTTTTTATTGTTACATCCCAGGGCATTGAATTAAAACGTTGCTTTGATCAAAATATTTTTCTGCTTGAGGAGAAAGATCACTGCTCTTCATTCGTGTAATGGCACCCAAATATTTCCTGTCTTTATAACTTTTTCCCCTAGTATTTTTTGCATTTATCTTGTAACCAAACACATGATAAAATTAAGTTTTACAATAAATGAAAATTATAATAAAATTTTTGGGTGGTTATGCAATTACAAGTCAACTTACTGGTGAAATTACTGCATTAGAAGCTTTCTTGCTGAAGTACGGAGGAAAAAGAAAAATAAAGAATATGGTTACTTAGCAGATATGGATTAATTTAGCAACTAAGCATCAGTTTCACTGGTTCTTAGGGTATTTCTATCTAAGATGGGATTCACTTGATACTTGTAGTAGTTACAAACAAAGCAGAATAAAAAAGGAATAAGGGTATTATCAGATGCAATGTGGGCACTCACTAAAGGTACTTACACAAGGAAGCTACAACTCTGTCCAATACTTAACATGACTTGGGAGGGCAGGAGAACTTAGTGAAAGCTTGCATGTGCTAGTGCTACAGTATGGGAGTAAATCAGACAAGGCAGCCAGCATCTGCCACCAGTGGCAGGCAGTGAAGGGCAAGGCCACTTGGCATACAACCAGTATTCCTCCCTTAGAAAAAGTAAAAGCAAGCTGTTATTTTGCCTAGTCGGGATATCTTTCACAAACAGGAATAATTATTCCTGAATTCTAATTGCTACAGGCAAGGAGCTGGCTCCTAATACACCAATTAAACCCATCTCCAGCAAAGAAGTACTTTTATAATTTTTTACTCACAGGCCCCTTGGTAACGGAGATGGAGCTGCTCCAGTGGGAAATCTGGATTCTTGTGTGTTATTGAACCTTTGACCTAGAGATGTAAGCAATATATTCAGTATGCAATGTGAGCTGTATCTGAACAGTGGATTTTCCTCATTGCCATTTTAGTGTTAATATAATAAAGGTAAAAAATATCCATTGCTTTAATCTTTTTTCTTAGCATATTTTCAGTCTGATTATACAATACAAATTATACAATAGAACAGTTCAGTAACACTTCTTGCTTATTGCTGACTGCAGAGGTACAATTTACACTGACACACTTAACTGCATGCTGTATTCTCCTAACTGGTGGCAAATCAGTCCCTCTCATATTGCTGTGTTTGCATCTGAATACTTACTTTCATCAGTATTGTTTGCTTCATGGTCCTGTAATGGAAAAATAGATTAGATTTGATATGAAGGAATTAAAAAAGGAATTACTGTGTTCAGTTTTAATTTCTTCATTACCAGAAGGACACAGAGGTAATGGAGCAGAGAAGGGCAACAAGGCTGGTGAAAGGACTGAAGCACAAGTCTTATGTGGAGTGGCTGAGGGAGCTGGGCATGTTTAGCCTGGAGAAAAGGAAGCTCAGGGGCTCTCTACAAGTACCTGAAAGGAGGGTATTGGTCTTTTCTCCCAGGTAACAAGAGACAGAACAAGAGGAAATGGCCTTATGCTGCACCAGGAGAAACTTAGATTAGATATTAGAAAAAAATGTTTTCACTGAAAGGATGGTCAGGCATGGAATGGGCTGCCCAGGGAAGTGGTGGAATCACCATCCTTCCAGGTGTTCAAAAGCCATGTGGATGTGGCACTTACAGACTTGGTTTAGTGGTGAACATGGTGGCACTGGATTAACAGTTGGAACTTGATTTTAGAGCTCGTTCTCGGCCTGAATAATTCTTTGATTATTAAATGAGAACTGCATGAATAATCAACATTATTATCAATAATCAACATGGTTTTGGTATCTGTAGTAATTTTTAAAGAAATATTTGTACAGAAGTCATATAGTATCCAGAAGACTTTCATGATGTCATTTGAAAAATTTTAAGCAACCAAATTTCAAACTTTCTAATAATCTTGAAATTGCTTGTAGTAAGTATTGAGAAAATTTGGCCTTAGTTTTGCTGTGAGTTAATTTTGGTTCATGTTTAATTTCTGACCTGGAAGACAGAAATTTTGCAGCAGATTTGAATACACTAAAAACACATCTTCTACTGAATGGAGGAAATTGAGTAGACTCTCTTGTCACCATGCTAGAATTGAAGCAATCCACCTAATTTCCTGGCTTCTTTGGGAGACACTTAATTTTGGTTCCCATTTCTTCACTTCTAGGGAATCAAGAGTCCCATTTTATAAGTATCTTTAAAAGAGGCACCAGTTATTAATTTGTCTGTCTTCATCAACCCAGCTAATGGCTTTTCACTAATGTTAGTGACAAATGCATCCATCCTCCAGCTGGAGAGGTGTAATCCATCACCCAGCAGTTGGGGAAATGAGACATGGCAGAATTTTTCTCCCAGTCAGCTCAAGCCTTTGAGAGGAACAAGGGTTACAGTTCTGTGCACAGATCAGTGCAGGTTAGTGCTGACAGCAGACTGAATGGGAGCAGTTAACAGATGTTTCAGTTTTTGTTTGGACTTTGTCAATGTAGCCAGGGATGGAAAGGAACAGAGCACTGGACAAACATCATGCTTATTACCATGTGTTCCTTGAAAATTGTAAAGGCACAAGACAAGCAAAGACCCCAAAATTTGGACTGCACTGAGTAACTCTTTCCTAGGCTGACTCTTGTGACAAACTGGTGAACTGCAAGCACCCAGGAGCTGAATACACCTGTGGTACAGATGAGTGTTTGTCTGGGAGCTTCATCTTGAAGCTGTAATTCAGTGTGTGGCTCCACCTAAATGATAGTCTGTTTTTATTCTCTGCAAAGCTAGGATGATACCCATCTCAAATGTAAGCTTTGAAAATGCATTAATGGAGACGTTTCAGCTGCAATATGGCACTCGAGTCTGTTCTGAAGCAGGAGTATTCTTAGTGCTGATCAGATAGTGGACTTTCTGTCCAACAATCTCCCTTGAGACACGAGATTTTTTTTGTATCTTGTATTGGTAAAAAAAGCTGAGAAATCAAACTATTTCATACAAGAGAAATCCCAAATTTGGCAGTGTTTAGGATTTGCTCAGAGTCCCACAGGATACAGATCTAAATGGGAAGAACTTTGTGATAAGGTGGAAGGGAAACTAAAATGCTATTGGTACATACAAACTGCTTGGTACACCTAGAAATTTAAAGACTGATATAAGGTGCTCATATACCACCTGCACTGTTACCATAACATCTAATCCTATTATATGACCCCAATTTCCTGGTTTAAGTGTCTAATTTCTCTATATAGTTATTGGTAGACTGATTATTTCCTAGGGACAATTCAGAGCACAGGGCTGGGACAGGGTCTGAGCTTTTGGCACAGATGCTGACACAGTTAACAGGTTACTCTGTTCTGGATAGTTGGCTCCTCATGAAGACCCTCTCAAACTGGCACAGCTGTGAGTAGAGCTATGGTGTAGATCAATTAATGGAACTAATCTGGCTGAAAAAGAATATGTTATGATTTGCTTTTGCTCATTTCTGCAGCTGGACAAGTTTCCAAATAGTTTGCTTAAAAAAAAGCCCAGCACAGGGAAGGGACAGACAGGATAAGACCAGAGGGAGGCAGAGGGAGAAGAGGACTGGCTGAAACACAGCCTTAGGACCCAAGGCTTGTAATTAGTCCTTCAAGAACTGCATTTTCTAGAGATACTGGTTACTCACACTACCCAGTCTGACATTTTAGAAGGTTTCCATTTTCAGAAAGCATTAATCATTCACCATCTGAGAGGAATGAGGCTCAAGAAAAAGTGCTTCAGATTGGACAGAATCATCCTCTGCTACTTAAAGTAAGGTTCCTGAAGTACAACTGGTATTTTTTAGTACGATAAATTATTTTTGTGGACTGAAACATATATCCCTTATATCCCATATTTCCCAAAAAACATTTGAACTTTTTCTTGGATCAACAGAGATGTCCAGAGCTCTTTTGCCCAAAGGATAAATAGCAACAATCACAATAACAGATGAATCTGACATCTGTTTCTGTTATTTAATCCAGATAATAAATCGATAATCTATCTACTTATATATGAAACACAGGACTAAATTTAACATGTTCTTATGTTAGTGGCCCATTAACTACTCACTGGTTTTGGATGAAGACGACTTCTGGGGAGAGGCAAAATATTTCTGAAAAATACACACAGTAAGTTAGGAATAGGACTTATTTACTTTATAGGCTCAGATAGGCTTTTTAAGACCTAGAGGAGGTCTGCAGCAAATGGATTTGATTTCAGCTCTGCACAGCTAAAGTGCTTGTGGTGATGCTCTGCCTTTGATGTGGAACTACTCTAGAACAGCTCCTGTCCTAGACCTTGGGTCCCCCTGTGTGACCTCACCAAACACCCTCACACAGAGAACTGTGGATGCCTCCTTCTGGAGGCACACAACATACCCTGTAAAATAATCACCTAGAGAGGAGGCAGGGCTTGTGACGCAGCTTTCTATGCTTCTGGGGACACAGGAGTGAAGTAGGCTGCACACTCAAGTACGATTTTTCCCTTTTCTGCCAGAGACTTGGGATATAAACCATGGATTTACTGTGCCCAGTTTCTTTACAAGGAATCTTGTACGGCTGCAAAAACATCTAATTTGCAAAGGTGCAGAGATGGCTAATAGGACCTTAAATTGGCTGGCAGAGATATTTTATCCCTGTACTGGATCCCTTAAGGTGTATTTCAGAAAATCCTATCCATGTGGCAAACTGCCTTGAGCACAGAAGTTCACAAATCAGTGAGAGCTTTTGGTGCTCACTTTGACCTAGCATCCCCAGCGATTTCAGTGGTCTGACAGTTGTTTATTGTCTGAAATCTACACATTAGAGAGAATAATTTTTTTTAATCTGCTAATATTTCCTATTGATCTAAGCTGCTGTTAACTTACCTGGAATTATCCTGCTTAGGTGACTCTCTGGTCATGCTGTGCATGTGGGAGTGCTCTGTATTCTGTGCAGGCATAAACGTGAGTGGCTTTGTGAACCTAGTAATGAAACATTAATTAAGAAAGGAAAATTACATTTAACAACAGTGAATACAAACAAAACATCTTTTTCTTCTCCCCTACCCCCTCAAAATTCTAATAAGTAACCTTAAGAGTATTTCTTTTTACTATGTACTACATTTGGGTTATTGAAATGAACATAAAAATGGTTGATAATATTTGTGCAGATAATCTGAAGAGATATTTACTGTATGTATTTATTACTTCTGTTACTGTATTTCTTCTAGAGAAAGAATTACCAGACATGTAGGATCTAGATGAGAAAAAATATTTTTCTGACAGTTTTAAATAAAGCACAAACATTCACAGCAATGGGTTACCTGGTTACTGGTGGTGGTGATGGTTTTTCCTGTAAGAGAAAATGCACTGAATTGTTTTTTGGTCACTTTTTAATTCCATAAAATAGATTAGTGTGATCCTATTTATGTTACCATATCAAGATATTATTTTTGCATTGTGATACAGATTTCTACTAGAGCTCTGTCTGGTAATCTACACTAGGATGGGAAAGGCAAGAACTCAACATCAGTAAATCTGCTTTGGCCATATGTTATGTCAGTACCAGCAAATGGGAAAAAAATTACTGTGTCAGAACTGTCATTGCTCCTCTGCTGCAGTTCTGCCTCTGTAAAGCATTCCCTTAGGCTGCTGCTTCACAGATTGGATCACTATCACAGAGGACTGGGAAACTTGCTCCTTCCCATTTACTCTTTTGAAATGGTTTGCCAGCTTTTCTGAAAAGGGAGTGTCAGAAAGCTTTAAGTGCATGAAGAGATATGTTCCCAGTTTTCCCTTTTGAAAGACTGATAATCTTTTCTCACAGTCACATTTGTACCCTGCCTGAGGGCAGTGGGAGTCATACTGTGGAAAGGCCTCACCTCTTCTTCAGGAACCTCGTAGACTTCTACAGGACAGGGAAGAAATAAAAAGCACTCTTTAGTGTAGCAAAAACACACTGCATGTTTCCATAAAAGCTGATCTGAATTTCTAGCAGTCATACTTGTGACTCTGGAAAAATAACTTGGAGAATCTGCTCAGAATTTGAATCTGCCACCAAAACCCTGGAGCAGCAACACCAACACCCCCTGTCTTCTAGGGGGAACTTCAGGTGAAGTCACAGGAATTCTGATATATATAGTGACTGTATTAATCAAGTTTCCTCCCATCACAAAATCTTTTTATTGTTTTGTTTTTCTTCTCATTCCCTCCCCCCTGCAAGCAAGATAAATGCTTGTGTTGTGCAAACCTGGGTCAATTTGGAAAAAATGTGTTATCACACCTGCAGCAGCATTTAGCCTTTCCTTGACTCAGGGAGGAAGAAATCGGGTCAGTCATAAATACAAGCTGGCTCCTTTGCATGCCAACATCCCTCCCTGAGTTCTGACCCACAAGTATATTTAAATTAATACATCTTGAAAGAAAAAAACACCAGCATCTTTATCTATGCCCAGTTTCTTCGATGCAAATAGAATCCCATTTCAGTAAATTTCATGTCAGGTTTCATCACTTCACTGCACTCAAGTGTCCCGGCTCCCACCAGGGGGAGATGTTTTATTCTTTAGTAACATCTGTCAGGAGCTGGTCGTTGCTCGACACTGATTTACAGAAAGGCTGAGACTGAAAAGGGCATTTTAAAATATCTGGAAAATAACTCACGAAATCTTAAGCAATTCATAACAAATGTTAGTTTACGACTTGCAGTTTGTGACTTTAAAGCTAAACACATTGCTAATGAATATGCAAAGCTCTTTAAAGAACTGTGTCATGTCTGGAAAGGTTACATCCAAGCAGTTAATGAGAATGAGGATGCAAAACAAGTCTAAGTTGGAAGAGAGAGATTAAACAAGAATATCTGAATTTACAAAAGCAACTAGGATTCCTCTTATTTGTTTCTGCTTTTGTTTCTTTTTCCAAATAAACTGCTCTTTACAGAATCTCAATGGGAACACTGTTACAAAAGACCATGCAAGACATCAGCCTGTACAGAATTTCTATATGGTTAACTCTAATGATCTAAAAGTATTGGGTCTTGATTCCTATGGTGAAATGGGATTACTGACATACTGAGTCCTATAATTCTTTCTGCTGTATTGATCCATTTGTGTTCCTCTACTAGAGCAAAAGACTAAATATAAATTAATTTGGGGCAAATAACTTGTTCTAGTTTTATTCATGCTTAAAATGGATTTACTGTTCAAGCTAGACAAAGCAACTGTTGCAACACAGAAAAGCTAAAGGAGAACATATTTTTGTTTTACTTTAGTATGTCATAGGGTTAGTGGTGTGAATACATCAGGCATAATTTAATATTCCACAGTCTTACATTATTGTATTCTAACAGCAATGCAAGCTTCACATACCTTGCATAACAGAAGTAAGAGAAGGCTTTGGAGAAATAGGGGGGGCTGGCTTTGTTGTCTTCATAAATCTGTTCACAGGTGCTAAAAACATATTTTATTAATGTACATAAATATATTTGTGCAAGTGTGTATATATACACATATATTTATATATTTACACACATCTTTTAACAAACTAATAATGTAACATTTATACAATAAGAATGAATAAGTCCAAATGACAACCTTTTGTGTGACCTTGAATAAATCAACAGAGTCAGAAAGCAGCTCTCATTTTTTAAAAGAGAAGGATTATTCAGTATTTCAGCCTTTCTGAAGAGGTTTGATATTGTCAGTGATGTCAGAGAGCAGAACTACATGCTCTTCTCTGTTTACTTTTCACCTTTGGACTGTAGTAGTTTCATTCTCTAGCTAAATATACTTATATATATATATATAAGTGAGATTAAAAGCAAAGTCTGTCTTTATCTACTAAATATCTAAAAATGCTTGTTCTTCTCCTGAAGCACTTCAGCAAACAGAGAATTTTAATGCTACTGCTCCTTTGGTTGAGAAGGCAGGTCATATGTCACGAGAAGCCTCCTGGTTGTACAAGGGCTTAACTTTGAAATAGCTGAGAGAGGCAGAAATTAAACATGTCTTCCAATAAAGTTAAAAATAATTTTCCTTGGCCTTGTCATAAGCCAAAGGAGCCAACTGCCTTTTCACAGGCTGTCATCTCTTTAATAGCTGCATTTCCACTGTTTGAACCCTAGAAATAGACATTAATTTTACCCTTTTTTTTACTATTATTCCTAATAAAGCAATAATTATAAGCTTGAATGACTAAAACTCACATTTTGCAGGTAGTGACATGCTGCCTTCTGTGGGTTCAATATAATTGTCATCATCATTGTCCACTGGCACAATGTAATTATCCTGTGAGAAATGCAGGACAAAAATCTCTCAGTTAAACCTCCATCATGTCATCAAAGTGTTTGGATTGAAGCCCTGGCAGCAGTTTACAATAGTTGCCATTTCACAGCAACTCCTATTTCAGACATTTATCATCCTATGTGGAAGCAATCCCAAAGATTGAAAATCCTTTACAGAATTATTCCACTGGTGTGTGGAAGCCCTCCCTTCCCTCTGGTCCTGGAGTAGCCTTTGAGGTTTCTCTCTCCCCACTGCCTGCAGCTTGTTACAGAGGATCAGGAGCCATTCCATGGTCTGAAGAGCCTCCAAGCAGGTAGATAGCCCTTAGGAGTCAGTGTGGTACTTGCAGGTCATTATTAGTGATGTACAAAATGATTTCTACTACAAAGTCTAAGAAAGAGACCAGACCATGGCATTGCGATGACATTTACACAGTTATAACAAATATATCAGTAAACTTCACCTCATCATCACTGCACTCCTTAGGCTTAGGTGGCACTTTTGGTTTTGTAGCAGGAGATGGCAATGGCATGGATGGCACACATGGTTTCTTTGGTCTGGACATGGCTGGACTGGGTGTACTTGGGAGAGGCTTGTTGATGGGAGGAAGCGTCTGGTGACTGGTGCGATTGTCTTTGAATTTGGTAGAAAACAACAATTTTAGTAAAAATTATACATTAGTCTCTGCACTTTCTCCTATTGCTTGTACAAAATCTTTGCTGTGGCTGCAGCACAGGTCAAATGGAAGACCTGAGCACAGCTGGACGTGATGTTGAGATTTGTGTGTAAACAGGTCCTGTTTCCTTGCTCAGGGCAGCAGCCCAGGCCTCTGTATCAGGTGCAGTGGTGCCTAGACACTGGCTGCTGTAGGAACAGCTCTTCAGCTCCCTGGGGAAAAGGTGCTGGCTGGGGGGTGTAGTGCACATGAGACATGAGAAAAACAACACTGGGTGGGACTGGAACATGAATTATGCCAGGTTCTCTGGGGTGTCAAGTCCTTCCCTTTTCAAAGAACATACAGGTGAAGGGCTGATAAACTTCTGTGAGTACATATGTGGTATTTTAACACTTTGATGAATATTCTACAGCCAGTAACAGTGTGGTATCATACAAAAACGAAAGCAGGCATCACGTCAATGTTTCTTTTCTCCATGTCTCAAATCTTCATCTAACTGAAGCTAACTTTCATTCACTTCAATGCAACCTATCCATGGTTGAAAAGAATCAAATTAGAAAGAAAAAAATCCCTTTACACTGGACTGATGTAAATAAAATCTTGATCCTGTCCTGTTTTTCAGGATATTTATCATCCTCAGTACCAATCTTGAAGGAGTGAATATTTGGGGCTACTGTTTACTGCTTTGGGAATAATGACTGGAGAAATAGAAGTTTAAGAAGGGACCTGTCTAGTCTCATGTGCCTTCAATAGTAATTGCTGCATCAATATATGGGGATTAATTTGGAGCCCCAAGTTAATAGTATCTCCCATACCTCTGCTTGAATTCTGTCATTAGCAGATGTCTATCACAGTCTCCAGGACACAATATATTAAAATTATAAACGTCACTACTGGCAATACTAACCTGTTTCATACTGTAATGAAAAAAAAAATCATACCCCTGAATGCTTAAGATCTGAGTATGAATATTAGAAACAAACTCTTGAGGAAAGGACAGATTAGTGCATTTGGGGCCTCTTCTGGTACTGATCAAAAAGCAATTATCAAGGTGATGTAGTTAACTATTCCATAACTACCTGCATATTCACCCCTAGAAATAGGGAATGCAGAGGGAATCTTCTTTTTTTCCTTCTCACTTGGAGGTGGCTCATAGCTGTCATCAGGATTCTCTTCGCTGGGGACCACATACATCTCAGAGTCAGAGTGGTCATCTGGATTTTCATAATCACTGTCCTAGAAAGACACAACTCCCCATTTCTCATCTCATAGCATTCTATAATAGAAAATTACAAAAATGTACCCTTGAACAGACACATCATATTCCTTTTTAGTGCTTCCTCTTGCAAAGAGGCATCCCTGCCTCCTCCCAGGAGCTCCCTGTCTTCTTGTCTCCAAAGAGTCCTTCCACCTCAAGAGCTCAGTCTTCAAATTATGGACCAATAACTTGTTTCCTTTCCCAGGACAGTTCCTTTCTAGATCCAGCCAGATGGATCTTGGTGTGTGTTGTCACTTCCTCTCCCTTTCCAGTTAAAAGGGTACTCAAGATCTGACTCCAGAAGGAAACTGGTCACTTCAGGCTGACAATTGCACCATTACTTTACACGGCTGACTGCCATGAATTGCTTCATTCTAATGTTTTCAAAAATCTTAGCAGAAGTTTTCATTTTTAGTAAGCGGCTTTCTTCTCCTCATCCCTCCCACCCTTCCTGCCCCAAATAAAACCTTCTTCTGATTTCTGAAATTATTGTTCAGTTTAGGAAGTCCCTCAAATTGATGCCATGTGCTTACTTATCCAAAAACCTTAGGGCTCATGGCTACCACTGACTGTGCTTCTGAAAGTACTTCTAAGTTGAATGTAAAAAAAATTGAGGCAGCTAAAAATCAGTGGCTACTTGTGAATTAAACTGATGTAAAAAATAACATAATATTCCAACATTCTGTTTGGCTCAGTATGTAGTTCAACCAGAAGTAGATTATTTTAAAAGAAACTTTTATTATTATTTCTTGTGCTAACTTGTTGCCACAGTAACCTCCTACTAGCCCAAAATATGTACTTACAAAATCATCTGACCATTGTTCCTCTTCATTGTCTGCGTGTTCTAAACCAAACATTAGAGTTATTTAAGGAGATGTAATAATGAATACAAATGTTTGTCTTAGATTGGTTTTTCAATCTATAGTTATCATATTCAGTTAAAAAAGAGTGAGCAAAATTTCCAAACAGTTCTGAGCAACACATCTATTTGGACAGAATAGTAAATTTTTGCTTATTTTTGACAAATTATTTCAGAACTGTTGGAAAAGCATTAGAAAATGACAAACTGCATATGGTCTGAACAGCAGAACATGCACATTACCCACAATGTCCTGCTAATGCATCGCATTTTTAAGTAGGGGTGACAATTTCTAGATAATGGAACTCTTGCTGTCCTCTGGGCCCTGGTTAAAGCTGGTTAAGTGTTTATATTAAACAGGGAACAGTTACCTGATAAGTTCCAAACTCTGTCCTGCTTTCTTCTAGTCTTATCTTAACAAGATGGCTGTTAACTTGTAAAAACAGCCATGAACTAGTTTTTGTGCTGTATGATAAGCAAGTAAAGGTCTACCTTCAAGATAATTCATGACGTCATCATTACATGAATAGTATTAAGATTTTACATCTGTAATGATGCATTTGTTCAATTTCCTCTGTATTTACTTTCACAGTTTCTGTAAGGAGGGGCTGCATGCAAATTTTCCTCCATTTTTACAGCAGCCTAGATACAGAACTCTGATTAAGACTGATTTTGAAAGAGTGGTTACTTGCTACTCTTCTGGCACAATTAATCATTTTTTTCTTGCCTTTCATTTCAGAGGTGTGAACTACCTTCAGAGTTGTTGATAACGGTACCTTGTTCTCTCATTAGAAACAAATTACGAGGCACTATATAGCTGAAATACTGTTAGGCATATAGATAGCAAATTAACACAGACATGCAGTTTAAATTTACATTAATACAGCCTTACCTGAAGCATAATCCCTTTGTGGCAGACTTGGCGGTGGCTTTTTTTTAAGGCTGTAAATTATAATTATTACATTTATGATCTCATAAGTAACATTCGCTAGAAAGGAGTATTAGCCAGACATAAAAAAGCTGATAACTAAAGCTACCTGCAGCTAAAGAAATACAGATTACCATCACAGATGCTTAGCAAATAGCTGTAGAAGAATGCTTTCAAAGGCTAGAAACTGATAAAATAATAAAATAGAATCTGAGAATTTGATATATTTTTTTCACTAAGAACATCTGTTGAAAGGACAGCTTCCTCGCTCACCCCACGTCTTCTTCATTTCCAGAAAGAGACAAGATAGGGGGCAGAAATAAATCATGATCTATCAGAAGATGAAAATCTGTTCAGGTTCACAGAGGCTTTATTAAGACTATGGCATAAGAAAGTGGTGTAGCACTCTCTATTTTTAGAATGAAATAATTTTGCATGCACTTTATTTTATGGTTAATATTTAAATGCATACCAGGTCTCTCAATGAAAGATTCTACTTTTTATTATTTTATGATGTTATGTCCCTTTCTTGGTAAAAACTGTTACAATGGCATCACATACCAAGTGAATCAAAAGATGATGAACTGGATTTGTAGAAATACTGAAAGGATCTTTTTGGCTATACAGGTAGGTTCATAAGTATGTGCACATATATATGTCTAGCAAGCAGAAGTACACATACATGTAAACACACACACACACATATATATGTGTGTGTATTCATGTATACTTCTCCTTACTAACTTGCAGCTGTCCAAAGAATACATTGAATTACAGTCAGTTTAATTATTTCACTACCCTGTAATGAAAGAGAAGAACTAGGGTTTAAAGTCAAGATGAACAATTCATGTGTGGCATCACAGGCCAGACTGATGCCTCTGCAGAGGGAAAAAAACAACAACCCTTTGTTTTTAGTAGCCAAATAAAACATTAAGATAATTAATGACATTAAAATTATTCTTTGAAGTAACTTTTGAACATTGTCTGACAGCTTCTTTGTAGCACTGATGAGATCTCACCATGGACCTGAAGCTTTGGCTACTAAACTGATGACTTCACTCATTCCTCAGTCAGGTCCTAACAAATTCATTTGCAAAAATAAGCAAATAATTTAAAAAACCCCACATCCCCAAAGAATTTAATTTAAATTTTTTTAAATATATTTTTTTATCTCTGAGCACTAGTGTTTGCAAATGTTGCTTTACCACAAGAATTTGACACTCAATATTTAGGTCCTATTTAGGCTTGCTGCCTAGGTATCATTGTTCAGGTACCACTTTTACTCAGGGTGGTGGCAGGCTGGCACTACCACATCACCTTACAAATTTTCCTCTCTGTTTTGAGAAATACTTTGGCTACTTCTGGGTTGAATTAATGGAATTCTGTTGCTCAGACAGTCACCAAAAACACCCCATGCATGAATCAATGAATAAATGGTGCGGGCATTGCTAAAACTAAAAAAAAACAACTCCCCAAACCAAACAAAAACCAAACCAGAAGATTATTTTTGCAATGTTAGCCTGCTTTGTTCATGGCTAACAACACTAATGATGGATAGCTGTCTCCTAGTTTTAACTTCCTGAAGCATAATATAACTTAGTGTACAAACAGTAAATTAAAAAGCATTCTCAACAGCTCTGCTCTGGTCTTCTGTCCAGGTTAGCACAGCCATGTTAGAAAGAAAATCCCAGGGCCACTGCCAGGGCTCATCTCAAGTCTTAGGAAGGGCAGACCAAGATCTCTTGATGTATTTTACAATACATCTGCCATGAGTTGTTTGGAGACTTGGGAAATAGTGGAACTGAGGCAACAGTGAGAGGCTGTCTGGGTCATGGTATGAAGTACATGGCTTAAGCAATATCACACATTTCTAAGCTGCTAAACAGAAATCTTCCACACTTGGTACCAGGCCCTGGAAATCCTGGCAGTGGCCCTGGCAGAAAATGTAAATACGTTATAACGAAAGCACACGAGGTAAGAACAGAGGTCTGTGTCTAAGCAGCCTATCATGCCATGGTGCAGCTAGGGAATAGCATACCGATCCCAAGTATCTTTCCCAGTTTTGCAAATTAAGGCCACTTGTTCATTTTGGAACCTGAATATCAATAGAAGAAAAGAAATAATGTTTCTGTCACAGAGCTGAAACAGTTCACGGCCACATCTACATTTGCTAGAATCTTTTCAAATATGTTATTTATTCTGAAATTCAAATCCACTTAAAAAGAAGTTTTCACAATGCTGGTATAATTTTCTGAGTGCCAGAACTGGAATCTAGGCTCTTTTGAAGTCAGCTGGAGCTCCACTTTACAGGAGCCAGAGCTCTACCCAATGTGCAAACCACACCACAAGCTCAAAAGACACAACCCTACACCAAGGTGTGGTTCCCCAGCTACTGCAGACTCTGACCTCATTGTCCACACAGATCCTTGCAGAATGGCAATTGACTCTGCCCTGCTCCCTGAAGTTAATGAGAAGGGACTGGAAGAATCAAAAGCCATCCAACTGACCATGCATATTTAAATGTATTTAACTCCAGTACATATATTGGAGCTTCAACAAATAACCAGGTAGCACTTGAGACATTTCATATAATGGGTTATAGATGCTTCTCACATAAGAATAGAATACAGGGTACAGAATTCAGAACAACTTTTAAGAGAATAAATTACTGCATTTTAAAGCAATGTATTACAAAATTTCCCCCTATAATATGCTGAGCTTGACCCAACAAAACACTTAGGCATGTACTTAACTTTTCTGACATATATGGTCCTGTAGGAGCTGCAAATATTAATTACTTGGAATTTGTAGCACATTTTTGTTTTCCTGCATTAAGTGAATAATTTTAAAATAAACTGCAGCAGAGGTCTGGGTGTTTTGCTCTAGCAACACTTGTTTTTACAAGCTACACCCAGAAAAACAACCAAACATACATATTAGTAGACCTGTACACATAGCACTTAAATTTTCCCACAGGTGCATTTCCCTACTAGTGTTTCTACTCAGTCCCCCAGCATTTAAGACATGCCTGAAAACTCCTTGTTTTCAAAAGTCCTGATGCAAAAAATAAAACTTTTCCTGAACTGTGTATTCCTAGTGGAAGAATTTGCCATACATTTGGAATTATGCAGCAATTGTACAAGATAAAATTAAACTGAAATGGATTTAAAAAAAAAATTATTATGACTTTTCCACACATGTTCTTACAATGTGCTATGGCAGTTATAGTAATAAAAATCCTGACACTCAAAACATTCTATTCAGCTACACAGTAATTTTCATGTTTCTTCAGCATAACAGTTAAAATTAGGCATTATACTTTTTCCTGTTTTATTTTTCTAATTGTGGTACAGCTTGATTTTAGTACATTCTCTCACTGTTTGTTTCATAAAATATTGCTTTTCTCTCTGCCAAGGGTTTGATCGTGAATGCCTTTTACTTGTAGCTATGCAGGTTGAAGAGATATTTAGTGACACAACTATTTTTCTGCCTGAAGTTACTGCCTAAATTATAAATGATATAGAAAAATTGACCACACAAATCTGAAGCAAAGACTTACCCAACTAAAAAGATGGGTAAAGCATCTTTGTTGCATTTTCCAGGTCACATGGCAAATGTTCAAGAAATGGAAACATTTGGATAGTTCGCAGTCAGAAACATGAAAAAAAGTGCATGATTTCTGATGGCTTTGTGGAGGATGTGATACTATAACAAGGAGAATAAACTGAACTTCTTGTTTCTTATCCAACACAGTAGGTCAACACATACAAAACTTCAGGTGAAGTCCTGACTTTGTTGTATATGCAGTGTGACTTTCAACGCCCAACTTCAGTGGAGCCAGGATTCCACTGAACAAAGCCTAAAGGTTTAAAGCTTATGATGTACAGATGAGTGCTCTGTCTTTACAGCGTGTTCCAAGCACAGGCAACCATCCTACATCCTGAAACCTCTGATTGCTCTGCTTCCCTGCTCTGTATTACCAAGGATGCGAGTATGAAAAAAATGCCCCCAGCTCTCGTTGTTTATCCAACGCTGGCTACACTCATTGCTGCTACACCTGAGTACATAATCCTCCTTGACACTGTGATCTGCACAGCAGCTGGGACTCAGCGCTGTAAACAGCTTTGCATGTGATTAAGGGCAAGCAGGTGACAGCTCCCCTGCAGTGGCCCATATTTTTAGTGCCAGAAAACGTTGAGTCAGAATGGGGAACAAACAGGAACTTTTAAGCAATGAAAAAACAGCCTTTCTATTTCTTTCCTGTTACCAGGACTGCTCAGCCTGCTTTCCACAGACCTTTAAGACACACATGGATAGCAGATGAATTCCTCCCCACCTGCACCCCACAGATGAACTAGCCTGGAGAGCAAATGTTTTGAGATGCAAGACCTTTTACACTTCTGCATAATCAGGAGCCAATCCAGATTTTAGAAGTGTTTTAACAAATACTGCTAATAAGTCATTAGTTAGTCACTGCATTTCACGAATATTTGATAATTCTTTAAATTTGTATAGCAGAGGCTTACATCATACATCTGGGTGATAACTTTAGGCATCAGATATGCAAGTACACTATTTGAATTCTCTAAAATTATTTCTACTTATAACAGGCTTGATTTTGATTTTCTTTCCCAGCATATGGATGAATCTATGCTACACGAAGCCCATTTAAAATAAAAAATTTCCTGCTTCAGTCATGTTTAGAACCTTGACGTTTAACTGAAATGGAAGTAGTGATCATCTGGATAACCATGTTTTGTTTGTTTTTACAATCAAACAAAAAGCCCCCAAAGACTGCATAGTAAGAAACACATCCAGCTCTAATTCTGTAAAGCTTAGCACCTCTTGTACATATCCTTATCAGTGCTGTCAATTCATGCTTTTATTCTAAGTCTCATTATGTGCTGGGTTCAAGACTTGAACTCTGAAGTCATGTGCAAATATTAGAAATTCTTCAATTTTTACAAACGAAATTTCTGATCTTCATAACTGCAAAAAAAGATTATTATGACTCAAATGAATCACAATAACATCAGAAAGATAATTATGCTTTTATACCTCATGTTCTTTGTGTTCTTATAACTGGGAGAGTTGACATGTGAGCTTTGTGCTGCAGTCATACTTTGAGTTTTTATGAGTCTACTCTTATATATATATATATATATATATATATATTTATCTTGCGTGAATCAAAGAATTACAGGCAGCAATCTTTGACACTTAATGATGACCTTCCCAGCTTCTGTGGTTCAGGTTAGTTCTCCCTTTTCTGTTCTTCCCCTCTTACTCTTCAGGAAAGACACAATCAGAGCAACTGATTAACAACAGAATTCACGTTCAGGCTACTATAGGAGACACTTTGTAGCCTCAAATGATAAACCTTAGATGCTTCTGCTGTTTCTCTCATCTTTCCTCTCTGAGGCTTTTGAACAGAGTCCACTGGAACATTATTAATTTCAGTTAAACAACTACTGTGAAGTAGCAAGCCACCCTTTATTAAAAAGCAGCAACTGTAAGAAACCCTCTTTAACCCCTTTCACTCCAAACCCCACCAAAAGCCTTGGACAGCCTAGCAGCTCTTCCCTGTCAGCAGGTCCCAGGTGAAAATGAGTTTTTTGTAGTTGGGTGGTGAACACAGTGGTCAATGTGTTAAAAACAAAAACACACTTAAAATGCCAAGTAGTTGAAAGAGGGCCATTTAATGGGAAAATCTCCTTTTGTGCTTGCATGGAAATAAGTAAGTATAGCAAGTGACTGTGATTAACTGTGAACTGCAGCAATCTTAGAGTGAAAGAGGATGAGTAAAGGAAAAAAAATTATCTCAAAAATCCATCTGATAGATCAGGTGTTTTACCACCAGAGCCTGCTCAAGGTCTGTGGGCAGAAAACACAGCTGTGGAAATGAGAGCACAAAGGAGGGCTGGGAGGCCAAGATTACCCCTCCTGCTTGGAGAACAGGAGAGCTGGGCAGTCCTGCTGCTCCCGGGAGTGTATTCCCCTCCTCTGGCAGCTCCAGCAGCTGCCCACCAACACCAGCCCTGCTGGGGCTGGAGCTGAGCCAGCCTGGCTCTCCAGAGCTCCTGCACAGCCAGAGCAGGCAGGGCCCTACTGCTGCTGCCAGCAGCTGACTGATGGCTTCGGACACACCGGGAATTGGCTGTTTCCCTTGGATGGAGCCATCATGGTCCCTCTTTAAAAACAAATTAAAACAATGCTTCCACGTGTCTTTTATGTACTAGAGCTGTATTTCTAGAATTTAACATGGTTGTCCTGGAAACACTGCAGACAGGCATTGTAATTAACTTCTAAAAGTATTTAATACTTTTGTTGCCAATGACCCATGCAAAGAAAGACATCTGAATGAGAAAATCGCATCCAAATGGAATTTCAATGCAAATGAGCTGTTGCATTAAGAAAAGTGTGCTAAATAGCTAATTGCTTTAAATAGATGTTTGTCTGGAAACACTGAATAGTGTATTCATTTGACAAGGATGCAAAATTACTGGAATTTCTTTCTGTGTATAAATACATATGAATATTTTATAATACTTTCATGCACGTGACACAATCTGCATGTTGTTCAATATATCTTACTAGAATAAGGGTGTTAGGTAATGCTGGATTTTGTTTTATAAGACTGAAACACAGGAGGACTTTGCATTTTTATGGGAATTTTAAGTATGATGCCTGACCAGTTGGTTCAAGGTGGAGCTCAAATTCAACTTAATTGCAACAGGAAGCCTAAACAGTTGCCTAAGGAGAAAGGCACACGTGCAAACAACAAGCAATGACCATTCCCAGCAAACATTCCAAAAAAGGCTCTTCACTCAAATACGCTTTTTTTTCAAGGCTACAAACACAACCTATCATTGGACTCCAGTTCTGCAACTCCTTTATGATACTCTTAATACTGATGACAATTCTGCAGGTTGCAGTCTGAACTGAAGCTCCTTCCATGCACTGGAGTGCATCCCTCTGGAATGACATGGTCCCATCACTAAAGTACTACACACCACTCTGCTCACAATCCAAACTTCCCCACATTGATACAACTAGGGATTGACATTGCAAACTTACTTTTTGAACTTGTTTATTATCCCACTTTCATTTTTCTTGATGTCATGCACCATCTTTTGAAGCTTCCTGTAAGATATTAAACAAAGCCAGCATTAATTTACCAAGTGGTTGAACATTAATATAAATCAAGAAAAATATGCTCAATATATCTTTAATAAGTAGTTTAATTGCTAAATCATTTGTGCATGAAATTTTCCTTCCTTTTAAAGAGCTCTTTAGCATTATTTGTGTTATCCTTCCAAATACAATTAAATATGGTATAAACAATCAATTTAAGAGTACGTGCAACAGGAAAAAATAAATCCTTGCCTAAATTAATAGTTTAGAATATTTAAATGTTGACATTTTATCTAGAACTGACTTCAAAACTCAAGCAAGGCTATAATGATTATGCCCTCTGATTTCTGGCCATACATGGGACACTTACATATAATGACAATAATGGACAAATAATTTACAAGCACATCTTTAACTTCTGCTGAAAATTCAAACTGATAATTTATAGCAAAATGATACAGTGTTACCTGCTAATTTAGAGAAATTACTTATTTAGTAACAGGTGTTTCTCAAATGCTCCAAAATTTCCAATAACAATGTACTTAGTGTTACCTGCTAATTTAGAGAAATTAATTACTTATAGTTGTGAGAAACAGGTGTTTCTCAAATGCTCCAAAATTTCCAATAACAATGTACTACATCTATAAAGTAGCTTGGATTATTATCTAACTAACGAGATACATTAAATCTGAGGTGAAAAGCTCAGAAGAACTTCTGCTTTTCTGTTGTATTTGTTGGTTTTTTTTTCTTAACAGACTCAGCTTCTGGTTCTGCTTGAAACATCAGAAATAGCCATCATCTGCAGTTTGCTGTTTCTGTGCTGTGCCCCAGCTGGCACCTGGCAGTGTCTATAAATGAAAAGTAATGAGGAATGAAAAGAATGAGAGGAGATCTAAATGGTTTAGTTCTAGTATGGGGAGAATGGTTGTAAGTGTTTGTGTTTCTTTCAAAAAGGCTTGCCAGACTTCAGTTAGGGATGGATGTCAGCATCAGTTATATTCTTTTGTTGTTTGTCAGAGATAGAACTCACCAACAAAAATCTAATTGTAGCTTTCTAGCTGAATATTGCTTATTGCTCATCACTGACACTAATATCTTTACATTAGCAAAATTATTACTTTATTTTATAAAAGGTGGGCTTTTTCACATTACTGGTTTTATTCTATATTGTCATTTGTTTGCTAAAAAAATCTTCACACATGCATGCAAATAAGATTAAACACAAAATTGATAAGTACAAGTACATGAATTAGTTTGCTTTTCATTTTCACATTTAGGTGAATTGATTAGAGCATCATGGATGTTCCATGAGTCTTGAATAAGGCTATAGTTTAAAAGATAATTTTATTACATATTTCTATTAAAAAAGGTGCATTTAAATTAGTAAATCACATGGACGGGTGCTATTATGATATTTTTTTCCAAGCAGATGGACTGACATGAAAACATTCCCATTTTTTGCAGAGTCAAATTTATTAAAAACCTGTGTCTCTTATTCTATATTTTTTGTACAGAGGCATTTAGATTTCTAATTGCAGCTTTGATAAATTAGAGAGTACCTAATATGCACTAATGTGAATTTTTTCAGCTTTTCAAGTTACATAGCTGTTGTAGGAGTTGTTAAAATCCTTGTTTGTTGCCCCATGACAATTTATCTTGTCTGAAGCCTGTGAGACTAAGCAGATAACCAATGCTCTAAGTGGGGAGTGTAGGAAGCCATCAAGCACAGCTGATCTCCTGTTCAAGTGGAATCCCCTTCGACCCACAGAGTTGAATGAGCTGCAAAAACCACTCTGTCCAGTTAGCTGGAAGCTGAAATTTCTAGAAGTGCCAGGCCATATAAAAGGCAACAACTGAAAAGAGCTGTCTGATTTATGATCTTAGAGAGACAGAAGAAAAGATGAGAGGCAGATAGAAAAGTCTGTGGCAATCTCCGAGGGTTCTCCAAATTTTCAAGCACTCAATCCCAGGCCCAAAGGCCATTCCAGAGCGATGAGGAAAGTGAAGCACAGAAGGGCATTTATATACCTAAAGTTTTGACTGAATCTACATATCTGACTAGTACTAAAATACTTGAGATTGTACTTCAAGGGGTTTGTTGAGAGAGGAGCTCACCAGAGCAGCAGCCCCGAGAGCATCCAGGAAATGGAGGCTCCCATGGCCCAGTGCAGGCAGCCCTTGTGTCAGGTACAGAACTACAACCTCCTCCTTCACAAACCTCTGAGTCAGGACCTCATCTCCAACTACTGTTTATTCTCTAGTGCTCTCTTGGGATGAGCAGAAACACTCAAGGACCTCCATCAGCTAGTACTGTAAATAAAAACAATGAGTAATGCTCGTCTTACTTTGCATTGCATATAATTAAAGATAATCAAGAGGTAAAACTTAAAGTTGCTTCTTTAACTACAAGCTCCAACTCTTCATTAAACCTGCTTGGGATCTTTTTATGCAAAATCAGGTTTGCAGTCTGTGTTGCTGCTAATCTTTGAAAACACATTTTGGCAATAGATATTTTGAGATCCATTTTAATTGTACCTTGCACAGACTGGATGGGACCCTTTGATTAGGATCTCGTAGCACACAGTAGATTTTCAAAGTTCTGCAGATTGTAAGTTTGGAAGTCCTGGATGTAGGTCCTTCTAAAAAGTTTTAGGTTTCTTACAAGTACATTAGAAATTTACATGTTGGAAGGAATAAAAAAAAAAAAAAAATAAAGACAGAAACCTAAACCAAAACACTTTAGCCCTGTGTTGCTATTTTTGCAGCTAAAAACTCCAGTAATTCAGAATTATCAGATCAAATGACAAAGGGGTCAGTAGCTGTGATAAGTACTTGAAGGAAGGTGGAAAGTTTTCCCATTGTATGTATCATACATCTTGAAAGAAGGATTTGTTGTGTGACAAAACACCTTGATGCACTCAAGGACTGGCAGAGCTGCCTCAAGATAAAACAAATGAAACAAACCCACCCTCTCTTTGATCCGGTCACAGCTCAGCTTATGAGGAATATGTGATGATGAAGTGAGGATGATGGGTGGACCTGGCCTGTGACACATTCCCACCTTCAAACATCACCTGGAAGCCCTTGGCTCTTTTGTATGCACACTATCCTACAAAAGCTTTCCAAAGGTAAAATAGGTTTTAAAGAGAAAAGTGAAGAATAAAGTGTGTAACAAGTTTTCAGCTCAGATGTGAGATGAGGTACAGAGTCCCTAGACTTGAGAAAGAGAAGTCTGTCTTACTTTCAGACAGATTTGTGTAATAGGGAATTCTTCATCATTTAGACTACTTTTTGAGAAATTGTATTTATGGGTATTATAAATCTGTTATTGCTTTTACAAGCAATATTGATTCATTCAGGGGCCTGTATTTTCCTTCTCCTCCTCCTCACATCAGTTAGGTCTTGAACTGATGAAGCTGAATTGGTTTTAAAACAGTAAAAATAATTTAACAAATAAACATACTGTAAATAACACAATTTGCATGACAATTGCATGTTCTTATACATTTTTGGGTATATCTGTTTCTCACTGACAGGACAGCCTGTAGTTCTGTGCCTAGAAAGTCACATTTTCTGAAGATTACAACACCCATTCACTTTACATAAGACTGTGGGTAGGTGTAGCACTCACTTGTGGCTTAAGAAAGTAGGATCACATTAAAAAAAAAAGTTTTCAGAGTTTTTGTTTGTTTGGGTTCTTTTTCAAGAAAATTTAAATACTTGGCATTAGAAACCTAGAATGGGATTTAGTAAGTGCAAATTTTAGACTTAAAACAAAAAATCTCAAAAAATACCCACTTGCCTCAGCTATAAGGTTTTACAGGAAAGAACCACAAAACAGAAAGCAAGGAAGATTATAACGAAAATTGGAGAATAAAAGCTAAGGTGCAAACAAAAACTCAAAGAACAGAAAACTAAAAATTTTTACAGCTACTTCTGTTAATTAAAAAAACTCCCACATTAGAATATGAAACTAAAGAAAGAACAGCATGTCCAGACTCCTCCTTTATGGCTTCTCACAGCACAATTATTCCACCACCTTCTCCCCAGCTGATCTCAGCTTTGTGTTTCTGTTATCCTTCAGGTTTATAAATAGCTATGCAGATGACCAAATTAATAAAGTTATTGTTTCTGGAGAAAGAGAAGACTCCTACTTCCTTTTGGGGGGAGAATCTACTTACCTAGAAGGGGATTTGTAAAACTACTACTTGAGATTTTGAAAAGCACGTAGCTCTTATGTTGAAATATCTCCTCAATCTGAATTAACAAACTAGAAAAGGACCACATTTCCTATGCCATGCTTCTATGAAAGCCATGCTCCTGCCATGGTCTTTGTGGAAGAACATGGACTTTGGTGAACTGGTTGTCTTGCTAAGATGTATTTTCATATTACTGGTCACTTTTGTGCCTCAAAGACAATGCAATTAAATGTTATAAAACAACTCTACCCCCTTCAACTTCACTTCTAATTCCTCAGTAGAAAGCAAAAAGAAATACCAATTACAGAAAGGATCTAATTCCTCATTAGACCTCCTTCAGGTGCTTCAGATCCCCACATGCACACAACCTTATATCATATTCTACCTGGAACACCAAGAGTGGGAGTCCTTTGCAAGGAAATGCCAGGTGGAAACAGCCACCTGGGTCACAGCTGGTGTTTTCTATGGCTGTGATATGTGTAAAATACATAAAAATGTGTAAGAGAGATAGCAGAATCCTTGAGGTGCAATCAGATAAACTACTTCAGTAGCTACTGGTCCAAGGTAGGGCCTTACAGACCCTCATACACTCTGGGGTTTTATCCACCCCCAGCAATGGCTTTCCTGGAGGGAGAAAAGGAAGTTTGGAACTGGAGATGGTAACATGTGGCATCAAACCATCCATTCAAGGCACTGAGCCTTTGATCTTTATCTGTAAAGCTATCTCAAAGCTGACAAGAAAAGTTCAAAGGGGTTTGCTTATTGGGAGAAGTCAATTACAGCTACCTATCTGAGAGGAAGAAGAAACAA